CGAAAAGGGTCCCAGTGGTAGGGCTCTCGAGGCAGGAGGATGGTGGAATTCCACCGGGGTCCGCCATATTCTAGACCCCCCCCCATTATTACAAGAAGAGGAAGCCATGAAAGACGGCTGCCAGGCTATCTTCTCTGGACCCAGCGACGCCGAAGTGGTCGCGCTGAGCCCGATGTACTCCAAGGCTTTTTGGACGCTGCTCGTCGAGCGGTCCGATCAGCCGCCCAGGTGGACTCCGACGGCGCCCTAGGGGGCGTGTTGGCTTTCGAACGGTTCCAAACAAGTTAGTGAAGCGTGCATTCATGTTGTGTGTGTGAGAGAGTGCTGGTCAAGGCCATTTGATTCAAGCAGGTGCCCTGGCCAGTAGCAAAAGCATCCCTTCCCCGGGGCGCACAACGATCAACAGAAAACACCTGAAACACACCAGAACTCGCTCAAGAGGTCTGCGGCTCCCAGAGTTCCTCAGGCTGGCCTTTCTTTGAGGGTGCTGAGATTGACCTCAGCTTCGGTTTGCCCGCCTAGCGCGAACTCCACGAAGGCCCTCTACAGTTGATTCAGGGGTCTGCTCGAGCTGATCACGAGCATCGATCTAACAGCTGATCCTCCGTAGTGGCACTGTGTGCTCCAACAGCTCGCTGAGTTAATGCAACTATCCAAAAAAAGTCTGGATATGCTGATGGGGATACGCGAAGCGTCAAGAATTTGATGACGGATGCGAAGCGTCAAGAAATCGCTGTGACGGATGACTGAACTAGGAGACAAACGAATCATGTGTGCATGCGCTGATGCACGGGTAGCTGCAAAAACATTGGCTGACCAGGGCAACGACATAGGGCAAGACCAAGAGACAACAGTCAGGGCGCCGAAGCGAGGCGCAAGAAGTGCAGGACGAAGGCAAGCAAAAGGCAGCATCGACTGCAAGGGAAAAGACGGGACACCGACGAAGCCCGCAACTACGCCCGCACGATACAGTAGGAGCTCGACAACACGGAACCTGCCACCAGAAACCCAGCCCCGAGACCCCAGGACGTGCACGGATGTTTGGTGTGGAAGCGCCGCGCTCTCCGCAGCAAAGCCGCTGAAGCCCAGAAGAAACCCAGGGCACCCTCGAGGCAAACAGGGTGTTTCTTGGCACGGGTTTCCACTGTACCGGGCAGTTGTTAATACATAGGATTTTGAAACATATGGGATGTTTAATACATGATCCATGTATGAGTGAACTTAGGCATGAACCCATCGTTGTTTTTGATACTGAATCCCTGCATTTTTTATACACGATCCGCACGCGGAGCATGTATTAAACACGGCCCTGTAGTGTGGTGCTCGAATGCTGGCGTCGGCGAATCCGTGCTCCGGGGCCCCCCAGCCTGGGGCCACACGCCCTTTTTGTCGGAGGTTTTGCCCGAGGGGCTCCCCCAGCGTGCCGCTCCGACTGGCAACCCCCTGGGGCCCTCTGGACCTCGCGAGCGGTGCTCCGGAGGCCGTGGGGGGCCTCCTTGGAAATCCAGGGGGCACCTCGGGCCAGGGGCACTTCTAGCAACACCCGAGCTTACAGATGATCCCTCTTCGGGCTGCCTCCCTGCGACGCATCCCGCGTCTAGACGCTGCACGGCCCCGCCCGAGGTGGCCACGGGCCGTCCCAACGCGGCTGCAAGGGCCGACACAACATCGCCAAAGTATTCCTTCTGCGGCAACTCATGGGAGCCTCCCAAACCATGTTGTCGGGTCTTTCGAATCGACGCCAGTCGACGCTAAAACGACGCTCATCGACGCTAAATCGACGCTAACCGACTCTAAATCGGCGCTACCTCATCGACTCCCATACGCTAGTCGACGCTAAAAGCAAAGTTACGAGGGTACACAAGGCTCCCACGAATTGCTACCGAATATTCCCCCCAAGGGCTCCGAGAGTTCCGCGAGATGCTGGAAGGACCCCAAGGCGTGCCAAGAAGACCCCGAGAAACGCTGGAACAGGCTTCCAGCGAGACCCGAAGATGCCCAGACGAATCTGAACTTGTGGAACATAACAAACGCAGTCTGCTTTCGAGGCGTTGGACGGCGTCAGACCGGGAACGCGTCAGAAAGGCCCGATACGCCCCCTAGAATAGAGACACCACCAAGAGGTTTCGACGAAGGACCCGAGGACCTCCCGAAACGTACCACGGCGGCTGCAAGGTGGGCTCGAGATCCGCACAGACGGCACCAAGATGGTTCGCCCGAGCCTCGGCAAGCTCGGCAGAGCCATGGCGCCCAGAATGGCTCCAGGGCGACGAAGAAGGGCCCCAAGGGGCTCGCTGAGGGCGCTCGAAAGAGCTCCAAAGGGCTTCCCAAGAGACACATCGGAAACCGCCAAGACGCGGATGGAGGATGAGGAAGATGAAAAGCAGGAGGACGTAGGAAGGAGGATAAACACGAAGCTGAGGCCAAGGCGGGGGCCAGTTTAGACCCGCGCCAGGTCAGACAGGGGGCTGAATTGGAGCGGATGTTCAACTCCTTCTCATCCTCCTCCTCATCCTCCTCCTCCTCCTCCTCCTCCTCCTCAACCTCCTCCTCCTCCTCCCTCTCACTGCTGCGCGGCTGCACGTGAAGCGAAATAAAGGGGTGACCGTAGACAGGGCGAGAAGGTAAGGGTAAACGCACAGAAACATGTAAATTTAGGAGGGGTGACGCTGTAAATGACTGCGGAGGTGATGACAGGATTGAGGGAGTAAGCTCCAAAGTGGAAAGCCACAAGCTGAAGCGTTCACTTCCCCCTGTCCTCCCAACACTCAAGTAGTGCCCAAGGCGCAGAATGTGCCATGATCGACGTCCAGGCCTCAGCCACACAAAACCATGTGAAACCCAGGCTCTCCATGTGCACCAGATGCGCCAGTTGCGACAGGTGCTGTGCCAGGCACGACAGGCACGCCAGCTCTTCCAGAAAGGTCAGGCGCGGCTGGTGCACTAGGCGCGCAGAATGCGCCAGGCACGCTCGGTGCGTCAAGCACGCTAAATGTCGCAGTTGCACCAGGTGCGCTGGGCTAAATGCACCATGCGCACCCGGTGCGCCTATTGCGTCAGGTAACGTCAGGTAAGCCGAATGATACATGTGCACAAACAGCGCTGGGTGCCACAAGTGCGACTGGTGCGCCCGAGTCATGCTCGCGCTCGTCTCCCAACAACACCTTGGTAAACGGAAGGAAAGAGCGACGCATACGTTTTTGTTCAGTGACGATCGGAGAGGCAGACATTGTCCGCTGTGATTGCGTCGGACACGTACTTTCGTCTTCATGATGCTAAATAGAGATGCGCAAGATGTTCATAATTTTGTGTTGGTAATTACAACCATGGGTGGTGAGAGGGTGGACAACATGATGTGGAGCAGACTGTGCCGCCGCGTGAAGCTTGAGAGATTGTCTCGAGTGAAGATGGAAGAGGCACAGGTGCAGCCCGAGCCGGGGACGGCGTCCTCAACCAACAACGCAGCCGAACTTCTGGCGGGCATGCTTCCCCCGGCCCAGCCAGCACTGTCAACGCATCCGTTCCAGCAGCCCTGATTGAAGAGGCCCGTTCAACGCACAAACTCTCCAGCGGGAGATTGAAGGGGCCCTGGGACACACAAATAAATACACACACATAAAAATATGTCCCATATTTTCCGAAATTTTCTGGGTTGTTGTTTTCCCCCCCACTTCCCATATTTTCCCATATGTTCCTGGGAACCGACGATTCATTGTGTCTGTGTGTGTTTTTCCCCCTCCTGAGAGATCTAGCCATCCGAGCGACGGCACCAGTCAAGCCACGACGGCGCAGCGTGCTCGGCAGCCCGCGCGCCGCGCCCGCGCTCCCGAGGTGGCCTCTCGTGGCAGCGCTCCGCGCACGGGCGCCGAGGCGCGGCGTGCGCCTCGGGATCGCGTTCACGCGCATTGCCCTGACATGCCCCTGCTGCGCGGGCTTGGCGAGGACAGTGCGCTCGCCGACCAGCACTATCTATATCTATATATATATATATATATGTGTCAACACCGAAAAAGCAGCTGTTTCGTCGGAGGCGCTGGCGAACGCAGGCACGACTGCAGGCAGGCTTGGCTCGCCCGCCGAGAAACCGAAAACACGCGGCGCGAGCCTGCACTCGCTTCTGAGCTGCAGAACGGGAGGGGGGGCGGGCGCATGCCGTCGCTGTGATTGGTGAGGGTTGGTGGGAGGGGGGCTGCCCAGGTGGAGGGGGAGGCGCTACCCAACCACAGCGAAACGGCGAGGGAGAAAAGACCGAGCCCTCTTCGATTAGCCACAATCTCTCGCGCCCGCTCACTCCCGCTGGCACTCCCAGCTCAGAAGTAGCAGACTGTACCCAGTGCGCGCTCAAGAAAAGGCCTTGTGGGCAACAGCGGGTAGCCAATGTGGACACATACGTGGAGGCATACAGGCAAGCTTCGTGGGAGGGGCGTGCTGTACAATTCGCATGAGAAGTTGTTGCCTGGGGGCAGTGGGAGGGGGGCCTGGATTGTCTGGTGCGCGTGGTTCGGTATCATACCGAAACCTAAGACCTGGCCGCTATCTGCTAGGCGGCTCCGATGCGGCGTGAACCTTGCACAGAATTCTGTAATGATGATTGGAGCTGTAGGTTGTCTGGTCTGTGTCAGTACGTGAACTACGCACTATGATTTATCAGGGATGGTGACGGGCACGAGATTATCCCCAGTCGGCGGCCACCCGAGTGGGGGAAGCGTGAGCGTGAAGTCTGGAGGGTGCGGGGAGGAGGGCGGAAGGACGAAGGAGAAGTGTGGAAAAGATGCAGGGAGAGAACGGTGGCAGGAGGGTATAACAAGGCCGGAGGGTGCAAGGGGCACTAGACGATTGGGGGCGGCGGCTGCGACTGCGGGCGGGTGGGCGGCGGATGATGAGTAAGAGAGCAAGAGTTGCAGAGACAAGAAGGGCAGTGGCAAGGGTAAGAGCTGGGGCAGGGGGGTGAGTGCAGGGGCGCAAAGGTTCGCGGCGCCGCTCCCCCCAGATCGCAGGGCCTTTCGGTGCTGCTCGGGTCACGGTGGCCGAGGCGTTGCGGGTGCCCTCGGGGAGGTGCACGGGAGGCGAGGGACGAAGATGTGAGGAAGGGGGGGGGGGGTGGGAGAGCGAGGGGGAGACCAAGGGGGGGGGGGGGCGGGCAAGGAGGAAGAGCACCGAGGGGAGGGACGAAGATATGAGGAAGGGGAGGCGTGGGAGCACGAGGGTCCTCCTCCTCCTCCTCCTCCTCCTCCTCCTCCTCCCCCTCCTCCTCCTCCTCCTCCTCCTCCTCGGAGGCCAGGGGGGGCGCAGGCGAGGAGGAAGAAGGGGGGGGGAGGGAGGGTGCCGACTGCGGGCACGGAGATGTGGAGGCGGCAGCCCCGCGCTCGAGGAGCAAGCCGCTGCACGGGAGGGAACGGTCAGGGGAGCCGAGGCAGGCGGAGGGCACCGGCGAAGGCAGGGGGCACGGGCCCCTGAGCGGGCTGCGTGCTGGAAGCTGGGGGTGTCCCGTGACCCGCACGCGGGCTCGATGCCCCTATGGCGTTCACAGAGCTGGGGGAGGAGCTACATCTGGGGCTGGCGCTCTTTCAAAACTGGATAAGGCCCCTGAATGGCCACGAGGCGGACAGCGCTTCCTGTCACAGCATGTCAGCGATGCAACACGAAGCAGGGCTGCAAACCCGCTGCCTTCGAACACATACGGTGATGCCTCCTATCACTTGCTGTTTGCCATCACTTGCTAATCCGCGCTGCCAGCGTCTGTTGCTTCCTGAATGCTGCGGTGTGTTGCTGCTTAGTTGCTGCTGCGTGCTGCTGCGGTGCTGCTTGCCGCCACGAGCTGCTGCATGCTGACCGGTACCACTGTTTGCTGATGCTGCTGCTTGCCGATTGCTGCTGTGCACCGAAACTCGCTACGGTTTGTTCCCGCTGGCTACCCGATGCTCCTGCTCGCTACCTGCTCGCTACCGCAAAGCCTCGTCTCGCGGCTATGTGGGCTCCTCTTGGGGCCTTTCATGCGCGTGTTCCAGCCTCTTGAGGCCCACTGGACAGCAGCCACATAGTCTGCGCAAAATGCGAGGAGGCTCTTGGGCTGCCTGGGGCCTTCGAGAGGTCATGTTAGGCCGCACTTGGGGCCCACTGGGAGACCCGCCCGCCTGCGACCCTTCGGCGATCCGATGCCCCTGCCTTCCTAGGCCTCACAGGTCTTTGCGTCGCGTCTCTTGGACTGGATCAGAGTCATATCGAAGCCTCTTTGGGTCTCTCCTGGACCGACTTCGGCCCCACGATGGCCGTCAGTCTTGTTTTCGCCGTGCTGCTCTTGGGCCGTCTCGGGGCAAGCGGACGCACTCCTGAATGTACCCTGGTCCGTGGGCTTGTCTGCCCGGGGACTCCCGGGGAGCCCGGCCGGGCCGAGAATCGACCAAGAAAAAACACAGCCCCAATCCCAAAATCGCGGATTCGCTGAGGATTCGAAGATCGGCCAAAGATTTCGGGATATGTGTTGCGTTCGTCGTTGTCACCCTGGTAAAACCCTGGGCCCAAAAATCTCCTACCCCGGAGTCTCGAGGAGCCTGCGTTCTGTTCTGGCCCTCGCGCTTTCGGGTTTGGGCGTCGGTTTTGAGTTTTGTGAAGAATGGGCCGAAGCATCCGCACCGCCAGCCTGAAGGGGAACTGGAACACACAAATAAATACACACAAATAAAAATATCCCCCATATTTTCCCATATTTTCTGGGTTCCTGTCTTCCCCCCCACTTCCCATATTTTCCCATATTTTCTGGGAATCGCCGATTAATTGTGTCTGTGTGTTTTTTCCCCTCCTGACAGCCCCGCAGGCAAGAGGGGCGGGCGGGCCGAGCCCGGCCTTGGCTGCGCGGTGCGCGCCGGCCATGCCGAGCAGGGCCACCGCCGCAGAGGCGCCTGCCCTCGCAGTCTCGTGCTCGTCCTCGCCCTTGGCCTCCGCGCCTGCCTCTGCATGTTCCTCCTCCTCGTCGTCGTGGTCGTCCTCCTCCTCCTCCTCCTCCTCCTCCTCCTCCTCCTCCTCCGCCTCCCCTCGCCCCCATGCGGGCCCCAAGGGTGGCCCGACGAGGCCCCCCACTCCCACACGCGGGTGCTCGTAGACGCACAGGTGCACAACCAGACAAAACGCGCGCAAAGCCCGTGCACAGCACAGAATCACATCGAGGTAAAGACTACCCACTCCTCTCTTCGATCCTCCAAGCCCCCCCTCGTCACCGAAGGGCAACCAGTGGCAATCGAGGAAATCCAAGGTGTATTAATGACGCCATACTCGTAATCCCCCAACCCCGTACGTCTTCATTGCACCCTGCTCGTGGTGTCGTCGCGCGTCAATGTAAAAATCAGCATCGAAGACACCTGCGGCGAATCACCGCTGCCCCCCTGCCATTCTGGAAACGCCGTTGTGGCCCAACGCTGGGCCAACGCTTGGCCAACCTATGTGATCCCCCAGCCGTTACGGAGCCCCTTGGGGGAGGAAGAAGGAAGAGCAAGAGAGGAGGCCGACAAGATGGCCTCTTGGCGATTTCTTGGGGCCTCCAGGGGGCCTCTGTTGGTGGGCTCTTGGGGCCATCTGCGGTCGTCTTAAAGCCATCTTGGGCCGCATTGGGGCTATACTGAGCCAAATAGGCAATCTTGGAAGGCATACTGGACAATATTGGAGGCCGAATGAAGCCATATCGGCCGGCTTGGAAACCATATCGGCTGTCTTGAAGGTCATATGGGACCGTGTCGGGGCCGTGGTGTGCAATCTTGGGGCCGTGTTGGAGGCCTCGCGGGCCCTCTGAGGCTGTCGGAAACCATCGAGAGCGAGAACGCCGAAGTCATTAAAGACATCCAAGGGGGGTCAAATATTGTTGCCTCTTGGCGCCCTCTTGAGGATTGGCCTCCTAGGCCGCCTTGGAGGCATCTTGGGCCGTCGTGAGGCCATCTTGGGCCATCTGGAGGGCATATTGGACCCGCCTGGAAGCGATCTGAGGCAATCATGGCCGTATTGGTAACCATCTTGGACAATGCTGGAGGTGAATGTTCTGGGCTTTCCGGCCTTTTGGGTGAACGGCGGATTGGGCCCCATGCCACTGGGAACCATTTTGAGGTTAGGAGACGATGTGGAGGCGATCTCGAGGTCATGCTGGGCCATCACGGATGCCTCTGGGATCGAAGCGAAACTCATACCAGAACCTACAGTGCTTCGGTGACCTTGGATTCTCGGGCTGTTTCCCAAGGAAGGGTGGATTCCCAACCATGCCCTGACGAGCTCGGACAGCGTTGCGCGGGACTCCCAGAGGCGCCCAATGCTTCCATGAAGCCGAGGCCTGGGCCGCGGAGGGACCCTGCACGGTGCTCAACACGCAGGACTCGAAGGGGCCCGGGGACACGTCGCTTCGTGCCCCGGGGGCACGGTGGCCGCATCTGCACAGGCACAGGACTGCCACCGCTGCTTCACGACCCCCAACCTCGTCAGAAGCTCCGCCCTTTTTCTCCACAACACTGCTTCGGATTTCGCAGTGAAGGGGGGTGGGTCTGATCCGGGAGCGGCCTACTCGGAGCGGTCTAGGGACTTTCATGGCTGGTCTGGGGGTGGGTCTAAAATGTCTCGTCTGGAAAGGTTTTGACCACCCCCCCCTCTATTACGAAACACGGAGTAAGTATCACTTCTGACCCCGTGGACTCAAGATCTGCAAGCGATGCCCTGTCTCATCAGACGGGGAGCGTGCGTACGACCGCGCGGGAATACGCACCGCCACGTGCCCAGCAGCCTCGTGCGCGCCACCGCTCACGCGCACTTGCGGGCAGTCCCGCTCCCTCATCGACAGGCGCGCAAATCGGGGTGGGCGAAAGGGTAGGATAGCGAAGGGCAGGGTCGAGAATCAGCTCGTGTGGCTGGTCACCCTGGCGCCTCCTGGCGCCGGGAGGCCCCCTGTCTCGAGGACTGGGCCCAGCGGCGAGGCGGAAACCAGCCGCATGCAGCAGATTTCGTAGCCCCCCTTTCCCTACCCTGCCCTTTCGCGCGGCCCCATCGCTGACACGCACACAAACTTCCACAACAACCCAGACTAGTCTCCTCCTCCTCTTGCTCCTGCTCCCCCCCTCCTCCTCCTCCTCCTCCTCCTCCTCCTCATCATCATCATCATCATCATCATCACTATCATCTGAATCAGCATCATCATCATCATCATCATCATCATCATCATCATCATCATCATAATCATCTGAATCAGCATCATCACCATCATCACTTCTCCTCCTCCTCCTCCTTCTCCTCGTCCTCTTCCTCTTCTTCCTCCTTTTCCTCCTCCTTCTCCTCTTCCTCCTCCTCCTCCATCCCTTTCCTTATAGATAACTCCTCCCTGTCGCACCCCGAGGCCAGTTTTTAGGGCGGGCCGGGCGGTTCGCCTGAGACTTCGTTACCACTTATGACTCTGAAGGTCGCTTCCAACATGTGGCTCTCGCCTTAGCGCCGAGCACATCCGTTTTTTAAATTCGCGAGAGTTTCACCCATTGAGGGCGGGTCGTTTTCAAAATGTGGCTCTCGCCGTAGCGCCGCGCACATTCGTCTCAAGAAATGCAAGAGTTTCACGGATTGAGGGCGGGTGGCTTTCAAAATGTGGCTCTCGCCTAAGCGCGGCGCACATTCGTCTTAAAACATGCAAGAACTTCACGGATTGAGAGCGGGTGGTTTTCAAAATGTGGCTCTCGCCTGCGCGGCGCACATTCGTTTTAAACATTTGCACGAGCTTCACAGATTGAGGGCGGGTGGTTTTCAAAATGTGGCTCTCGCCTTCGCGCGGCGCACAATCTTTTTGCACAATTGCAAAAGTTTCGCGGATTCAGGGCGGGTGGTTTTCAAAATGCGGCTCTCACCTCAGCGCCGCGCACACCCGTCTTGAAGAATTGCAAGGGTTTCGCGGATTGAGGGCGGTTCCTGTTCAGGGTGTAGCTCTCGCCCTAGCGCCGCGCACTTTTACTTTTACCACTTACAGGAGTTTCACAGGTTCCCATGACCAACGAACCAGATGGCGTGTGGGAAAAATCCGAGATTATGCGGGTGCAACAGTTATGCTGATTCGCTGTGTTGAAGTCCCAAAAGTGGCGTTCTGGCACGATTCTGGATCGTCAAGACGCAACACTCAAGTTGATCCGTGGCGTTCAAAGCCCGAGACCAATGTCTTTGTACGCTTCGGGATCTCCAAACAGCTGTCTTCCAACGAGGCAGCTCCCTCAATGGAAATGAACCGCTGTAGGGGCTCATGAAGAGGGAGCTAGGAGGGAGGGTCAGTTCCAACATCGTCGATGACTCTTGGGTTTCCACTGGTCCTCCTCCTCCTCCGCCTCCTCCTCCTCCTCCTCCTTCGGCGGGCGAAGCCGCCCCCCGTTGTGCTTCCGCCGGCCACCCTCGCCGAGGAAGAGAAGGGGGCAGGCCCCCTCGAGCCGCCCCGAGGGCGAGCCCCTGTTCCGGGGCGCCCCCGCCCGCACGCAGGGGGAAGGAGCGCAGTCGCACCCACGCATGGGAGCACCGATTCCACAGGGGGGAGGAGGAGGAAGGAGGAGGAGGAGGAGGAGGAGGAGGAAAAGGAGGAGGATCAGGACCCGTGTAAACCCAAGAGTCATCAAAGATGTTGGAATGAACCCTCCCTCCAAGCTCCCTCTTCATATCATAAGCCACTACAACGGTTCATTTCCATTGACAGAACTACCTCTTTGGAAGACAACCGTTTGAAGAACCTGAATCGTACCCAAACATGGTTCTCGCGATTCCAACGCCACGGATCAACGTGACTGTAGCGTTTGGTCAATCCTGAACCGTGCCAAAACTCCATTCCTGGGACTTCAACACAGCGAATCAACATAACTGCTGCACCCGCATGTCCTGAATCCTTTCAAGACACCATTTCTAGCACGTTGTTGATGGGAATACATGAATCTCTTGAAAACGCTCAATTCGAATGTGCGCCGCGCTAAAGCGAGAGCCGTATTTTGAAAAGGAACCGCCTTCAATCCGTGATGCTCTTGCAATTGTTTAACACGAATGTGCGCCGCGCTCAGGCGAGAACCACATTCTGAAAACGACCCAAACGAATGTGCGCCGCGCTGAGGCAAGAACCACAATTTGAGAACGGCCCGCCCTCCATATGTGAAGCTGTTGCCAACCATCAAGCCTCAGAATCATACGTGCTGAGGACGTCTCGGGCGAAACGCCCGGCCCGCCCTAAAAACTGGCCTCGGGGTGCGACAGTGAGAAGGTATCTACAAGAAACTAGGAACTGAGGATAAGGAATAGGAGGGGGAGGAGGGGGAGGAGGAGGAGGAGTATTTGAATGAGGATGATGATGATGATGATGATGATGATGAGGAGGAGGAGGAGGAGGAGGATGAGGAGGAGGAGGGGGGGAGAAGGATTAGGATTAGGACTAGGATGAGGATTATAATTCGGATTAGGAGGATGAGGAAGAGGAGGAGGAGGAGGAGGAGGAGGAGGAGGACGAGGAGGGGGAGGGTCGTGTGCAAGGCGCCCCGCCGCCCGCGCCTGCCCACGTGGCCGCGTGCCCGGCGCGAGCCTCGGCGGCGGCTGGCCGTCGCAGGGCCGAGGAGGGGGGCGGGCACGTCGACGCCGACGCCGGGGCAGCAGCAGGTGCAGACGCCCAGGCCTACCGATGCGGGACGATCCTTCGGCCCCACCCACTCGGACCCCACTCGGGAGACTTGGGTCCCCACGGCCTCCCCCGAATCGGGGGGCCCCGCAGGAGGAGGAGGAGGAGGAGGAGGAGGAGGAGGAGGAGGGCCCAGGCATCGGGCATGGTCGGTTTTGTGCGGCCCAGGCATGTTCTGGGGGAGCGAAAACTGGCACGAACAGATCCGAACTGGCAAAAACATGGACAAGATGGCGAACAAGGCGAAAACGGCATGTTCTAGGGGAACTCAAAGGTCCGCGCGAATTTCTCGGATCCGCGCTGGATCCCCCCTCCCTGGCGCGCGGAGCGCGCCAGGGGCGGCGCTGGAGGCGCCGCCAGGGGGCCCCAGTGCCGATCCGAGAGATCCGCGCGGACCCCCGAGTTGTTATGCTTATGCCATTGTCCGTCCCCCTGTTTGCATCTCACTTCGACCTCCAGGGGGCGTCTGCGGGCCCTGCCTCAAAAGTGGGTCCGGGACGACCTGATTCCCACCAGACAAAACTGGACTGGACCCACCAGACGGCCCGGTGGTCTCGGACGCCGCTGCAGACATGTGGAAAAGCAGGGTCTCCAGGGGAGCCCACAGACACGGGGGCGGCGGCTGTGTGTCGGGTCCAATCCGTCGGGTGGCCATGGAGAAACACGGCCAGCACTGCCCATATAGAGAACGGGCCGAGAATTCTGGGGCCCACGGACTGACAAAAAAAAAACGCATCCTCGAATGTCTGGAGAGGGAAGCGCGGGACGGGAGCGGATGGTGAGGAGAGCTGGGGGTGGGTAGGGGATCGAATGAACGACTGAGCGCCCGAGTCGCGCGCGTCGCAGGACGGAGCCCGAGCGTGCCCGTTAGGGCATGGCGTGGAGGGCGTGGCCCCGCCTGAGCGAGTTCCATTTCTTGAGTTCCTCTGCCTCACTCTGGGCACTGGCTGGGCAGGCTTCCCGAACAGCGGGGAGAAGGACACAGAAGGGGGCGCTTGGGCCGCTTGGGGAAGGGAGAAGAGGGGAGGCAAACAAGGGGGGCCAGGAAGGAGAACAGGGGGGAGCGGGGCACTGTGTCGTTTCTCCACTGCCAAGTCTGCTGTGAGCTTTGGACATGGCCTCAAGTTCTTGCCGAACCAGGCGCGAAGCCGCGGGATTGCAGTGCCATGCCACCAGGTAAGCAGGCTCGAAGATGACCTCAGTAAGCTTCCCAAGAGGCTCACAGAGGCCCCAGGGAGCCTCCTAGGCCTCCGAGATGATCTCTAAACAACGCCCCCCTGGCTCCAGAACCCGATCCCAAAACCCCAACGCCCTAGACCTAAACCCTAACACTCTAATCGTAACACCCTAACCCGAACAACCCAACACCCTACCACCGACACCCTGACCTACGACTTACCAGACCGCCCTAACGCTGACACCCGAACCCTAACATCCTACCCCGACCTAGACCTGACACCTTACTCCGAACCCGACCGTCCAAACCAGAACCATACCACCCTAAACGTAACACCCTGACCCCAACACCAAAACCCTACAACGGGACCCAACTACAACCACCATGACCCTAAAACTCGGACGCTAACACCCTAATCTAAACACACCAAGCCTAACACTAAAACTCCAACCCTAACACCAACAGCCGACCACCCCGACTCTAACACCCTAACCTTAACACCCTAAGCCTACCACCCGAAACCTAGCAGCCGAACCCTAAGCCTACCGCCCTAACACTAACCCTACCGCCCTAATTCTACCACCCTAGCCCTACCACTCTAACCCACAACAGCCTCTCACTACCTAGCCCGAACATCCCACTCCGAATCCTACCGCCCTAACCCGACCCCTCCCACCCTCACCCTAAACACCCTAACCCTAACATTCTAATCCCTGACACCCTAATCCGAACCCCACCGCCCTAAGCCCAAAGCCCCGATCCCTAAACCTTAACACCCTGACCCTACCACCCTACCCCTACCTAACCCTAACACCGCTCTCCGAACCGTAAATTCCAAACCCTAACCTTCCTGCCCGCACCCTGAAAAGCCTGACCCAAACACCCTAACCCGAACCCTACCGCCGTAAGCCCTAAGCTCTAAGCCCTAAGCTCGAAACTCTCCAGCCCTACGCCCTAAGGCCACAGCCTTAAGCCCTGAGCCGTAAGCCATAAGCTATAAGCCCTAATTTCGAAACCCTAACACCCTCACTCTCAGCTTTAATTCCTAAGCCTTAAGCCCTAAGCCCGAAGTCCTAAGCTCTAAGGCCTAAGCTCTAAGTCTTAGGGTTTAGGATTGAAGGCGCAGGAGTTGGAGACCCCAATCGGTAAGGGTGAAGCGTGCGGCCCCCGTTATTTCACGCGCGCGCGACAGTACCCTCACGCGTCGGCCGACCTGTCGCACGCGTGAAATAACGGGGGCCGCAGGCTTCACCCTCACGCGCGCGTGAGGGCGCGAGTGAGGAGCCTCGGAGGCTCCTCTGAATCTCCTCAGAAGCGGCCAGAAACGAGCCACTCTCTGTATTGGATTGTGGATTGGGCGAGCCCTTCTCGGGCGCCCTCGGAAACGAGGCCTATGAGGAGCTTCTGAGGTCGGAAACGCGAGCGACAGGTCGGCCGACGCGTGAGGGTACTGTCGCACGCGTGAACTAACGGGGGCCGCACGCTTCACCCTCACTCGCGCCCTCACGCGCGAGTGAGGGTGAAGCGTGCGGCCGAGAGGTGATGGAAAACACGCCCATCAATGAGAGGGGGGGAGATGAGAAGGAGATGGCCCGTCGGAAGGGTCGTAAGTCCCCCTGTTTCCGAGAAGTCTTCGGAGCCCTCACCGGAGACAACAGAAAACACTTCCCAGAAGCCGCGGGGGCTCCTGAGCCCCGCCGCCTTCCGAGGAGGCCCTCTCCGTCTCAGTTCCCCCCCTCGCTCGCCGCCGAGAGACGTGCGAGGGGTGTGCCGAAACTGGCGCAGGGTGGCATGCGCGCGCGCCCGCTCTGGCCGCAGGTGGCACTCGCTGGGGTCCGGGGGAGAGGGCGCGGCACTCGTGCGGAGCAGGCTGGGATGGGCGGGCGCGCGCGGCGTGCGCGTCCCCACTGGGGCCGCAGGTGGAGCTCCCCCCGGTGGGGGAGGGGCACGAAGCGTAGAGGGAGGAGAAGGGAAAGGAGGGGGAGGAGGAGGAGGATGAGGAGGAGGAGGAGGAGGAGGAGGAGGAGGAGGAGGAGGATTTGTGACATCCACGGCAAGGGGGAAAACGAAAAACAGAGGGTCACAGAGAGGGGAAAAGAGAGGGGAACTGATTACTCATCGGAGGAGGAGGAGGAATGGGGACCTCCACCAGACGCCCCCCAGCGGGCGGGCGCGCATGCCGCCCGGAGTGCGCTGGGCTGTGGGCAGACGGGAGGCGCAGGGGCAGGGAGACGGGGAGGAGGCGAGGTGGCAGCTCGGGCGCGGCGCTGGCGATCCAAAAAAAACAAGGGTGCAAAAGCACAGAAGGCACCTGGCCATCGCTCGGACGTCCATGCCCTGTGTTTGTTTCGGTTTCGCGCGTGGGTTCTTCTCCAAAGGATCAAGGGTGCTCCTCGATGGTCCTCGCCGAAGGAAAAATGCACACGTCCGAGCGACGCCAAGGCATGGGAAGAAGTGTCACCATGCCTGTTGGTTCGAAGCTTTTGGGCAGAAAGCCGTCCTCGGGGTGGCTGTCGTTGAAGGGGCCCCAGAACACACAAATAAATCCACACAAATAAAATGATTCCCCATATTTTCCAATATTTTCTGGGTGTTTGTGTTCCCCCCCCACTTCCCATATTTTCGAATATTTTCCCGGGGATCGACGATTAATTGTGTCTGTGTGTTTCTTCCCCTCCTGAGTCGTCAGGAGGAGTGGGATGGATGAGCCCTTGTGATCCTGGGGACCGCTCGTTGGGCGCTCTCTTACGTCCACCACATGGGCTTTCCTGTGGGAATGGGGCCGCTCAATTCATTCACTCTTGAGTTCCTTTCCCCGCCCTCGACTCATCCTGCAAGGGCTGAAAATCGGCTGCGACATTCAGAACATGAACTGCCAGTACCAGTGCCAGAGGGATGAGCCCCACGGCGCAAGGAATGAGGTAGGAACAGAAGAGATGTGTTTGATTGCGACGCGGATGAAGCTGGGAGCCTGACAGCAAAGGTCGGCACGCAACTCGCAGAACACCAGCGAGGCTCAAACTTTCTGCCTGGGCGCCAGCGTTGACAGTCCAGCACAGTGGTAATTTAAAGGTAGAGTACCAGTCAAGGACAGTAGCGCGCACTGTCTTCCAGAAGAGACAGATCACCTTCGTCGGCCGTTGAGGAGCGGGAGGGAGGGAGGGAGGGAGAGAGAGGGGGTAGCAGACACAAGCCAGAGGCTGGGGAGACTAACAGGTACCGCTACCGCTGCTCCCAGGACATCTCCAGGGGTGCGTTCTGGCCAGGATCTCGAGGCAGATCCAGCGGTGGCGACGAGGACCTCCCAGGAGGCCCAGAAAAGGGGAAACCGAGGGAAGGGGAGAGGTGTGGGTACCTTTTCGGAGGGGCCCTGGGACACACAAGTGAACAGACACAACTAACAGGAGTCCCCATCTTTTTGTCCCATAGCTTCTGGGTTCTTGTCTTCCCCCCCCCACTTCCCATATGTTCCCATATGTTTTCTGGGGATTCGACGATGCAATGTCTCTGTGTGTTTTTCCCCCTCCTGACTTGTCCTTCTCTGGGAGGCGGGGGACGTCCGCGGGCGTCCGCGGGCGCCGGGCGAGCGCGCGCGGCGTGCCTGGTCCGACTGGACGGGCGTGTCGGCATCGCGCGGCGCGGCCTGGCGGGGTGGGGGAGGCGGGGGGGGGACGAGGAGGAGGAGGACGGGCGGTGAAGGCCACGAGCAGGGAGGGAGGGAGGGAGGGAGGCGAAGAGGGAGAGAGAGAGAGAGCAGAAAGAAAGAGAGAGAGAGAGAGTCAGAGGGAGAAGGCGCGCCATAGAGAGAGAGAGAGAAACAAAAAAAAGAAGGGAGAGAGAGAGAGAGGGAAAGCGAGGGAGAGCTTAAAGAGAGACTCGGAAATACACAGACATATGTATGTGCAAACGAGAGAGGTACTGAAAGCTAGAGAGGAGAGAGAGAGAGAGAGAACAAAAAAACGAGAGAGAGAGGGAGGGAGGGAAGGAGAGAAAGAGAGAGCACATGCACACATAGCAGAGAGACCACATATGATATATCCGTCACCGTGCCTGCGCGGAGTGGGCATGTTAGAATGCTCCTGTGGTCCCTGCCTCGTGGAGTGTTTTTTAAACATGTTTTTCAGGGACGACACCCCCCCTGTTTGCACGCGGGGTTCACCCCCCCACCCCCACCTAAATTTGCTCCCCGACGCTCTTTTCGCCCTCCGGACGGCCAAGATGGCCTCCAAGGCGGCTTCCAAGACAACCATGACAGCACCAAAGCTGCTCAAGAGGGCCCAACGGCTCAAGAGGATCTCAAGAGAGCCTGTGGACGGCTCAAGATAGCCCAAGAGGGCCTCAAGACGACCAAAGAGGCCCCCAAGACGGCCCGAGAGAGCTCCGACAGGCCTTCCTGGAGAGCCCGACACTGACACTGACACTGCGCCCCCACGTCACACGGGACGGCCCTATGAGGGGCGGGGCGGTAGCGCCTCGGCGCCGACAAACAGAGGAGGAGGAAGGGAAGAAAACAGAGGAGGAGGAAGGGAAGAAACAGAGGAGGACAAACAGAGGACAGTCCCACGCTGGGGAAGGGAAGAAAACAGAGGAGAAGGAGCCGGCCGGCAGGTTCCCTCACCTTGATTGCCCTTTGGTATTTAAAGTAAAAAGGCTTTGAGGTTCTCGCCTGCTCGGGTTTCCGACAGCTCAAGCCGGCCCAAGAGGCTTCCAAGAGGCCGCCAAGATAGCCCCAAGAGGCCACCAAGAGTTCCCCGAGAGGGCCCGAAGTCAGCCCAAGAGGACCCAGGGATCGCCCCAGGGGCTCCCAAAAGAGGGCCCCAAGATGGTCTTGAGGCACTCCAAGACAGCAGCACGCCGGCCCAAAGAGGCCTGCCTCGTGGGCTGTCTTGGGCGGTCGGAAAACCAAATATGCCCGAACTTCAAAAACGTTCCAATACCAAAGAAACATCAATGGTGTGGGCCTTTTCGGGCTCTCCTGGATGGAAGCCCGCTTGGAGAGCTCGTGGGCCGTCTTGGGAGCCTCTTGACCTCTCTTGGGGCCTGTTTGGGTTTGGGGGAGGGGGGAGGGAGGAGATGGTGCGGACAACACCCCGACAAAGCAACGCCGTGAAGCAATCCTGAAGGAATTGCCAACGCTGGTCGAATACACCGCTTCGCAATGTCAAGCAGGACGTGAAAATCGACGCCAGGCTCAGCCACCCGTGGCAATCAATGCCCGGGCAGTTTCCGTGCAGGGGGAGGGGGTGGAGGAGGAAGGCAGCGAAACTGGCTGGGCTGGGCCTCAAACCGAAGAGGCGAGACAGCGAGCCTCGCGCGTGCGCAGTTCGCACGGGTGTCCCCTCTCGAGCGCTGGCCCCAGGAGGGCCGGCAAATGCAAAACACAACGCCCATCTGTCTTGGGGCCCTCTTGGGAGCCTCGTGGCCTCCAGGACAGCCCTCAAGGCAGCCAAAATGACGGCACGATAACCAAAGCGGCTCAAGCGGCTCCCAATATAGCATCAATACAGATTAAGAAGCCCCAAAGACGGCCCAGGAGGTTTCCAAGATGCCCTCCTGGAGGGCCCGAGGCGGTCAAAATCATTGATTCCATCGGGTGTTGGAATGATTGCGAGGTTGTGACCTGTTCGGGTTTCCGACCGCATATGACGGCCCAAGGTTGCTCCAAATGGCCTCCAAGAGAGCTCCAAGACAGACCAATAGGCACAAGAGGCCCCCGAGTCACCCCAAGAAGCCCCAGAACGGCCCCTGAGAGGCTTCAAAACTTCCTGCATGAAGCCCCCGAGAGGCCTGTCACGACTTTCCAACAACAGTCCTATACGCATACGATCTACAACAGCCCAGGCGCGGTGGCGGGATGGGCCGAAGGCTAGGTGAACGTATACATGTGGGATGTGTGTGTGTCTGTGTGTAAAGAAACCACACATCACATACATACCCACATAAAGACATGCATACATACAGTGATGCATACATGCACGCATGTATACATACATACAGATATACATACATGCATGGATGCATGCATACACACATGCGTATATACATGCATACATACATACATACAGACAGACAGACAGACAGATAGACAGGCAGACAGACGTACATGCATGTATACACAACCAAGTTACGCACATACAGTCAAACATGCATACATACACACATGCATACATACATGCATACATACACACATACACATACATATACACATACATACATACAGACAGACATACATACACACACATACATACATACATACATACATACATATATACATACATACATACACACACATACATATATACATACATACATACATACACACGTACATACAGACAGACATGAATACATGCATACATGCATACATGCATACATGCGTACATGCATGCATGCATGCATGCATACATACACACAGACACACACCTACATATACATATCGGTGCGGTGCAGCCATCCACCCATACCAATGCATACGTACAAACATCCCCACATACGTACAGTCAGACATACATACATACATTCACACAAGCACATACCCATACACATACACATCATTGGGTATATACCCATACGTTCATACATGCATGGCGTCAATACAGGCATGCAGGCAGGCATACATGCATGCATGCATGCACACACCTACATGCATTCCATGAATACATATATATATATATGCGAACGAAACCGTACACATATATACATTAAACATGTTAGTCCTACATACAGACATACATGCATACAGATATTCATACACACATACCCACATACATACGCGCATACAAGTAGATGGGTAAATTTATATACATGTATACATACATGCACGCATACATCCATCTATACATACACATGTGCATATACACATAGGTGCATATGGATACGCAGATACATTCATGCACACATGAACACATACACGACACATATACATCCATACATACATACACGCATACGTACACACAAACATCAATGCATACATGCATACATGTAAACATACGTACACACGTACATGTAGAGAGAGGGAGAGAAAGAGGAAACAACAAAAACACAGGAATAAGGAGTACACATATATATATATATATACACATAAATACAGGCTAGAACCATCAGGCACTCCTCGCGGGCGCTCAAGTTATCGTAGATCCACCAAGATGGTCATTTGGATGCCAATCACGTCCTCTTGCTTTTCCGGGCTGCCTCGGGGCCGTCATGCAGACTTCTTCGGGCACATCGGCCTCAGGATCTGCATGAGCACCTCGCCCTTGGGACCTACACTGCATCGGCACACCCTGCCGTGGAATTGCCTGATAACGGAGGTCTCAGAATTTATACGGGCACCTCGGCTTCGGAATTGAGATGGGCACCTGAGTCTCATAGTTTGTATGGGTACCTCGGCCATAGATTTTACATGGTCGCCGCTGAGGGGCCGCACGGCAGAGGCGAGGCAACACAAGGTCCTGAATTCTCCTCCTCCTCCTCCTCAGCCTCTTCCTCCTCCACCTCCTCTACCATCCTCCTCCTCCTCCTCCTCCTTCTCCTCACTTGGGGCACATTTGGTGCTCTCTTGGGTACTGTTGGAGCTCTCTTGAGACACTCTTGGACCGTGTCTGGAGCTTCTTGGAACGTCTTGGGGCCCCTTGTGGATCATCTTGAGGCCCGTCGTCTTGGACGATGTTCAGGCACCAGGCAGGCCTTGCACAGGTATACGCGTTGCCAAGAGATGGGGCGATGTTTGCCTCTCGAGGCCCCCTTGGGAGTCCTCATGGAGCGCTCTGGGGGCGTCTTGGAGGCCTCATGGACCTGCTACGAGAGCCGTCTGATTTGGACGCCCGTAATGGGTACGGAAAGAATGGGTACAATGCCCAACAACAAATGTTGTCCCAAACCAACAGCGGCCGCTGTTGGACTGCCGACCCTTCTGTCTCGAATGGACACACGCCGCGGCGGCGTGGACAGCGAGTCCTGTTCAAAATGAAAAAGAACTGCAGTTGGGCATTGTACGCATTCTTTCAGTGCCCATTTCGTTCGTGCAGATCTGATAGCCCTCGAAATCATCTTGGGAGCAACTCGGAGCACTAAGGAACGGCCTTCACGGCGCTCCGAGCGCTCGGAATGCTGACCTCTGAGGCCTCCCCATGACCGAGCTGGGTCCCTCGGTGCACACACGTCTGCGGTCGAGGCCGTGGCCCCGGAGGACCCGGGGCGCAGGCCCCCGTGCACATGCAAATTTGCGCACATCCCCACACACATATACATATATATACATATATACATATATATGTGCACATACACATGTATAGATATAGCTGTTTACCTATATAACAATATGTGTGTATATGTGTAAATGCAAACCTATGTACAACTAGTTACACGAATATACGGATGTAGATACACGATGGGAGGGCCAGATGAAGAAAGAGAGAGAGAGAGGGAAAGTCCCGCCAGCCCTCTGGGCTTAGGTTGTGTAGGGCGTTGCCGATTCCATGATCCCCCTCCTGCCCATTCGGGGGAAAGTTATATCCGTCCTTAACAGTAGACACCCTTCCACAACCCGTCCTAAACCAAGGAAATTGTCGACACCCCACACACACCAATCCTGGCAACAAACCATACAACATGTTCGGGCGCTCCACGGCGGTTGACAGGGGCGGTAAGGGGTGCATGAGATTGCCTGGCGCACGCAGTCCCAACATCCGAACCCAAAAAATTATATAAACGGCATGTTGCACAACCCCATTCGACCATGCGCGGGACGACCATCCTTCGGGGGGGGGGGGGGCTTGACTTCTGTTCCTTATCGGTGGAAAACGTTCCCACACCCGACCAGAAAAAAAAAACAAGTGCAATGCCGACCCCACCCCCGCCATCCATATCACAAACCATGCAGCATTCATTAAGCGCCAAGGTCTGGGTAATGTTATGAAGCCCTGTGATCACTTTCCATTGTTTGCTACACGGACGGCAGGCGGACATCAGATTGTCGGATGTGTGGGTGTGTGATGTCCCACCGTTCCTGTCAAAATCCCGTGCCAAACACGTTGTGGAAACAGTTTGGACAGCCCACCCCGTCCCGATGCTCAGAAATATCCTGTATCCGTGGTGTCCTCGAGGCCCCCAATGGCCCTCATCGTGTGCTTTGCAAGTAAGAGGCGTTGTACACTGGCGGTGGCGGCGGATAAGCCGGGGCACAAGCAGGAGGAACAGCGATGATGAGGAAGGGGGGGGATCAGCAAAAGCAGGATGGTAGGATGATCAAAACACCCAGCGAAAGTCGGGGGATTTGTTGAGCTCAACGCCCGCACAGCCTTGGTGAAAAAGGACACAGCAGCGGCGGCTGGGAAACCACTGCTCGCAGTGAGAGAGACCTCACTGACCGAAAGAGTACCTCCAGCAGCCCCATGGGCTAGGAGGCACTGGCCTCACGACGGGCGACCGACGACAAAAGACTCGCAACAACGAGGAACGAATCGGATCCATACATGTTGCCGTCGCTGGTGCGAAAGGATCCCTTTCTGCACGGTAGGAGCGAAGCCACGCTCCCGACCTTTTGGCCAACGCTGCAGTGGGAGCACCGTGCTCCAAAGACCAAAGGCGTTCCGATCGAAAGAATTATAGAACGTGACACATTGAACAATCATGTGTGCAAACGGTACGGGGGAGTGGCGAGAGAATGCCGTGTCAAACTCAGATCACGGAGACTTCTTGCTGTGGACGACGGAGAAGAGAGGAGGGAGACAGAGGTAAGAGGCAGGATGAGGGAAGCGGGATGAGGAGGAAGGCGTGGCGGAGGAGCGGGAGGACGCTGGGAATTCAGAAAAAGGAGGAGGAGGAGGAGGAGAAGGGAATGGGGTGGAGAAAGGGGGACACGGACGGAGAAACAAAGGGAAGAAGATGAGGAAAGGGAACTTTGTTTGGACTTTGCTTGGCAGCGCGTGTTAAGTAGCCAGTGGAGGGAAACGGCGATTCGAAGACGGAGAAGGCCGAGGAGGAGAAACGGAGAACCTGGCTGGACGTGGGAGGGGGAGGGAAATGAGGTGGAGAAGGGGGGACATGGACGGATAAGCAGAGCGGGAAGGATGGGAGACGAGGAAAGGGACCTCGCTTGGCCTTGGCGTGGCAGCGCGTGTTCAAGAGTCGGTGGAGAAAAACGGCGACTCGAGGACGGAGAAGGCCGAGGAGGAGAAGCGGAGGACCCGGCTGGACGTGGGCCCCGCAAGGCGAGGGGAGATCGCACGCAGTCCACTCAAGTCCATGCATCTGCGGCTGCAAACGCATACGATTTCAAGTTCAGCTGACACCCTATGACTTCTACACACATTCTTGAAGCTGGGCGAAAAAAGGCATACCAGTGGCTGCTAAAACGGCAGTCCCGGAAGAAAAAAACAGATTCCCCGAATCAAGCTCAGCGCACTAAATAGTAAACGAGCCGCTTCCCGGAATAAAAACAACAATTTCCCGGATCTCCGTTTTAGCAGCCACGGGTTTGCCAGCCTTCGCTCGGCTTCTGACATTCAACCCTCAACAGCAACCAACCTCACAAACAGCCTCAAGCAAAAGCAAAGGCTATGCCCCTTCAAGTCAACAACGAGGTGCAAAGCTACCCATCTGCAACTCACATTACTTGCGAACCCGTGAAACTTCACAATGCAGAATTAAACGACGACCCTGTTAATCGAACCCGCGATATCCGAGCACTGCAAAGCCGCGACAATACGACACGGGGGTTCCATGGCACCAGAAAGCCGCGGCATTAAGGCAACAATCACACGCCCAATGAGCGGGAACAGGAAAAGCAGGACCAGTGATGGCCGTGAACAGGGACACCCAAACAATTCGCGCACGGTTTCGCATAACATCCGCTAATACCTCAGACGAAACGGAGTGTTCGATTTGAGGCGTCGCACTCCCGACCTCCACATACGCTTCCATATCATTACACGCAGCGTATATACACGATCGGCGTATATACACTCGTGTATAACTCATGTCGCTCTCGGATCCTCAGGCAGAACGCAGTTCACGCTGCGTGCTGCCTGAGGATCCGAAAGCGACATCGCCCACTTAGTTAGCTGCCAAGGTCCTGGGAGGAACGAGCAGCTGGTGGAGCGAGGTTGCTCCCGTCTCCCTTTCGCTCGGGGATGGACAGAACCTTCTTTAGTAGAACGTGGTTTAGTGAAAACGACCTCGGGCCCAAACCTGGCGGGCGCAAGCTTGGAAAATGACGGCCGCGGCGCCCTCTCGAGAACCGAAACCGGACAATTCACTCATCGACGTGTCAGGGTGGGGGTTATATCCAACCCCGACCGAACGCAAAGCCGATCGCGACGCAGCCAAACTGACCGAAACGAAGACACTTAGAACACCGACACCTGCCAAGATAACACTCAGCACCCGATCCCGCCAGATTGCGCTTGCATAAATAATATCCCCCCGATCGACCTTGAGATCGAGATGGCGAGCGGGAAAGTGATCAGAGATGGGGGGAACAAATACCAGAACTCTAACGAATCACACGTCGGTCGGAAGAAGTAGGTTGAAACATGAAGTAGGAAGGCGGATAAAGTGGATTGGGTCCAGGCCCTCCCAGAGAATCGCAAGACACAGCAAGAGCATGCCGCTTCTTGAGGTAGGAAGGCGCTTGAATCTGGGAATCCAAAAATACCTACTTTCAACGACCGGCGTGTATTGAACTTCGAGAACCGAGCTGGGAGCCTGACGGCGCAGCGGTCCACTCGGCGCACCACCTCGCGCACACCAGGGGGGTCCACGGCCCCAGGCAGGGGGCCCCGCGCGCGAGCCCGGCGTGCCCGCCCGCGGGCGCGAGACAGAGGTCGCCAGATCTCATCCTCCTCCTCCTCCTCCTCCTCCTCCTCCTCCTCCTCCTCCTCCTCCCCATCCTCCTCCTCCTCCTCCTCCTCCTCCTCCTCCTCCTTCTCCTCCCCCTGTTCTCTTCCTCCTCCTCCTCCTCCTCCTCCTCCTCCTCCTCCTCAACCTCCTCCTCGGCTCGTGCTGGCCGTTGGGCCAGGCGGCCCGTCTGCCTGCCGATGCCATCGGCTCACGGGCAGAGCACCCACCGATGCGAGGACCCACCGATGCGAGGTCCTGTCAGAGGCTCACGGGACGAGCTGGCCAACACCCCGTCAAGCAGCTGTGCCGATAGAGACTCGCACAGGGCAACAGAGCGGAACAACTGGCAGAACGAATCGTGCTGCCCTTTGCTGGACGTCCGGGTCAGGGCATCGCTGGCTCGCAAGAGGATACCGCAAGACCTCCGGTGTGGCGGAAGAGGACGAGGGACGAGGAGCGAAGGGAAACGAGGGAGAGGAGCGAAGGGAGACGAGGAGGAGAAAGGAGACGAGGAGGAGAAGGTAGACGAGGAGCGAAGGAAGACGAGAAGGGAGAGGGGGAGGCAACAAAGGCGAGGGACGAGGAGCGAAGGGAGACGAGGAGGAGAAGGGAGGGCAGGAGGGCAGAGGGACCGGGAGGAGCAGAACGAGGACAGGAAGGAGACACGGGAGATGGCTAGAGTTAAGTCGGGCCTGTCCTCCTACAGGGGGGATTTTGGACGAAGAATAAACAAAAAAAACAAAATGGTCAAAGATGGTTGAAAAAAAATCCCCTGACTATTTTTGACTGTTTCTGAATATCCCTCCTGTAGAGGGACAGGCCCGGATAACTGGAACAACTGCATAGTCCCAAACTTTTGGCGCTCCGCGCGGGTCTCTTGGATCTGCGCTGGGGCCCCCTTCCTAGGGGGCGGCGCCGGAGGCGCCTCCGTTGGGGGCACGGCGCGAATCCACAAGAGAGCCGCGCGGAGCGCCAAAAATTGATGCTTCTGCCATCTTTTTAAAATCCGCCTCGAAGGACGAGGACCAGAGAAGGAGGACAGGAGGACAGGACGAGGACAGGACGAGGAGAGGAGGACAAGACGAGGACTGGAGAAGGAGGCCAGGAGGACAGGCTGAGAACGGGAGGGCAAGCAGGACAGGAGGGGCGAGGATTAAGTCGGGCGTGTCCCCCTACAGGGGGATGTTCGACGAAAAATCAAACATACCCTAAGAATACCCCAAGAAGGTCAACAAATACTCAAAAAATCATCCCCTGACTATTTTTGGACTACTTTTCTATTATTTTCGGGGTATTGTATTTTTCGTCGAAAATCCCCCTGCAGGGGGACAGGCCCGACGTACATAAGGCGAGGCAGGGGCGCCGAGGAGGCCGGGCGGAGCCAAGACGGGGAGGGCCGGGCCGGCCGCGCGAGGCCACGGGGGGCCCCCTCGCGGCCTGCGGGGGTGCCGCGGCGCCGCGCGTGAGGGCGGGCGCGAAGCCGACGGCTGCTCCGCCTGGCGCGAGGGGCGGCCGGCCGTCGCACCTCGTGCCCTCCGGGCATGAGCTGCGGGCAATACTTATTCGGGGAGACGTAAGACCCGGGTACGGGGGACTCGGAAATCCCCGACGAGGTCGTCAAAAAAATGACGAGGCCGAGCCTGCATTTTGACGAGGCCTCGACTTATGTCTATGTCCACTGCAGTATGGAGTCTCGGGCTCCCTTCCCAAGAAGCCCGAGGCGCACTGGATGTGGACGAGTTTGCCCCCCAGAGGCTCGCTTTTTATCCATATCCAGTGCGCCTCGGCCTTGTGGCGCCGCTTCCAAAAAAGTCCACGAGGCACTGGATATGGACATGAATCTTGCCCGCATGAGCTGGGTCGCGCCGAGAGATCGACTGTTTGGACGCACGAAATGGGTACGGGAAGAATGGGCACAATGCCCAACAACAAATGTTGTTCCAAGCCAACAGCGGCCGCTGTTGGGCAGGCGGCCTTCTGTCTCGAATGGACACAGGCCGCGGCGGCGCGGACAGCGAGTCCTGTTCCAAATGAACAGGAACTGCCGTTGGGCACTGTACCCGTTCTTGCCCTGCCCTTTTCGTTCGTGCCGAATCGACTGGGATCGGAAACGGGTCGGGTCGCCAGCGAATCGGCCCCCTGATCGGATCGAGGTCGGATCGCCAGGGCAGCCTCCGGCTGGCACCGGCCGATGCCAGTGGAACGGACCGAAGCGGATCGAATCGGAACCGCGGCCCCAGCTGGCGAATCGAGTCGCATCGCATCGACTCGTGGGCGGCCCTGCCCTCCCGCCTTTCCACGGTCGGGGGAGCTCTTGCTTGGCGCGTCGCAGCGACGGCCCCGGCGAGGTGCTCTCCCGTGCAAGCGGGCACAGCAGGAGCTCGACCGCAGGGAACCCTCCACCAGAAACCCGACCCCGAGACCACAGCACGTGCACTGTGACTTGCGGCGTGGGAGGGCCACGCCTGCCATCGCAGAACCATCGACGCCCAAGAATCCCAGGCCTCCTCCTCCTCCTCCTCCTCCTCCTCCTCCTGCTGTTGCCTGGCGCGGGTGTCCGCTGTCGCGGGCCGGTGCACGCCGCGGGGCGAAAAGGCTGGGAACGGCTCCGCGCGCGGACCCGCCGAGGCGTGCGGCGCCGGGGCGTGGGGGGGGGCCAGGAGCGGCGGAGCGGCACTGACGGGCCTGTCTTCCACCACCACCACCACCATACGTTGGAGGGGGGCAGGAAGAGGGCGAGGAGGAGGACGAAGAGGACGAGGAGAACGAGGAGGAGGAGAACGAGGAGGCGGAGGAGGAGGAGGAGGAGGCGGAGGAGGAGGAGGACCCCCTCCCCCGCCAACTTACGGCGGTGGTGGTGGAGAGCAGGCCCAGCGGGCACGCTGTCCAGAGGCTCCTGGCCGAGGTGCCCCCTCCGCCCGCCGAGAGCGAGGCCCGGACGGCACCGACCCCGGACGGTCCCGGCGCCCCGCTCGCCCCCTCGAGCCCTCGCGCCCTGCCGCCCCCCCAATGTCTCCGTCCGCCAGTGGCCCGCCCGCCCGCCCAGGAGGAGAACGGAGCCCACACACCCTTCCTGAGCCCCGGGAGCGACGGTGGCTCATCAGAGCCTCATCGCCAGCCGTGGCCGTAAGCCGCCGCTCCGACAGAGCGCGTCTCGCTGGCAGCTGACGCAGCGCGCGCGAGGCAACTCTGCAGGTGGGTGCAGACGGTCAGTCTTCCTCCTTCGAAAAACGCGCTTCTTCCCCTCATCCTGCGGGACGCCCCAGACCTGCTCCCGCTCCCGCTCCGATTCGCGCTTCCGCTCCTGAGGCTGTTTTCATTTTCTCACCGATCCGCCTCCTCTTCATCCTCTGCCTCTTCCTCCCCCATCCCTCCGCCGACGTTCCTCCCTCTTCTCTGCTCCTCCTTTCCTTTTCCTCATGCAAAACTTGTCCCTGTCGCACCCCGAAGCCAGTTTTTAGAGCGGGCCGGGCGTTTCGCCTGAGACTTCCTCACCACGAATGACCCTGCAGCGTTAAACGTTACAACAGTTTCGCATATTCAGGGGGGGGGTCAAAATGTGGCTCTCGCCTTAGCACCGCGCACATTCGCTCCAACAATTTGCAAAAACTTCGCACGGAGTGAGGGGCGGTGGTGTTCAAAATGTGGTTCTCGCCTTAGCGCCGCGCACACTCGTCTTAAACACTTGCAAGGGTTTCACGGATTGAGGGCGGGAGGTTTTCAAAATGAGGCTCTCGCTTTGGCGCCGCGCACATTCCTTTTAAACAAATACAGGAAGATTGCACGGACTGTGCAAGAGTTTCACGGATTCCCATGATCAACGTACCAGAAACAATGTTTGGAGCACTTCTGGATTATGAGAGCGCAATAGTTACTTACATTGATTCGCGCGCGGTGTTGAAGTCCCAGACTGGCGTCCTGGCAAGATTCAGGATCGCCAAGACGCAACCAGTCAAACTTATCCGTTGCGTTGGAATCCCGAGAACAATGTTTCAGGATCTTCAAGTTCCCTCAGTGGACGTGGACCCTTGTGATGGCCTATGAAGAGGAAGCTAGGTGGGAGGGGTCATCCAAACATCATAGAAGACTATTGGGTTTACACTGGTCCTCCTCTTCCTCCTCCTCGCCCTCCTCTCGTTCTCCACCAGCTCTACCTGCCGATGCTGCTCGTCCGCCCCCCGTCTCATGAGGGGCCTCCCGACGGCCTCGGAAGCCAACGGCCGTGGCGCCCACACTGCGCACCGAAAGCGCACAGCCCGGCCCGAAGGATGGGCAAAACTCGCACCCGGCCCAAACAGCGCGAGAGGCGCAGCCTCCGTGCGGGCGCGCAAAAGCCTGAGGCATGCGAGCACCACCGGTGCCGCAGAGCCCAACGGACGCAGGGGCGAGAAGATCGGGGGTTGCTAGAAGTGCACCTGGCCTGAGGTGCCCCCCCAAATTTTCGTTCCATGGTGCAGCCCCTGGAGCCCTTCTGTGCCTCGTAAGGGGTGCTCTGGAGCGCGTGGGAGTCGCCTTCTGAGCATTTGCTTAGGGCGGAGGGCTGAGGGTGAAATCCACATGGGCTTTTGGACCTCGAAAAAATACCCGCCTTGTGGTTGGCTGGCTTTCAGGGTGCGGTTTGTGTTGTGTAGCGGCCTGTGTATATGTGGCGCCTGGCTTCTGCGACGATGTCACGATTGCGCCCAGTCGTGGTCAGGCACCGTTGACGGTTCGCACCCAGCAGTCTTTCAAGCAAGGCTTTGCCGCCCCGCCGATGTCACCCGCGGGTTGTTCATGCCTCGACGAATCCACGCTCAGCGCATCTTTCAAAATGCGGTTCTCGCCCAAGCGCCGCACGGTTTTTTGAAGTGTTTACAGCAGGTTCAGGAATTCTCAAGGCCAGCGTCCCATGAACGATGTTTGGGCACGGGGTCGGACCGTCAGGGCGCAAGACTTACGTTGATTCGTGGTGTGGAAGTCCCAGGAATTGTTTTTCTGTCTGGCGCGAGTCGGGATCGTCAAGACTTAACAGTACAAGTAATTCGCGGCGTTGAAGCCCCGGGAAGGGTGTTCTGAAACAGTTCGGCATTGTCGGACGGCTGTCTACCAACGGGGCACGTCTCCCAGTGAGAATGAATCCTTGTAGGGGCCAATGCAGAGGGAACTTGACATGGAGGCTGTATTGCAAGATTGCTGATGAGCGTTGGGTTTGCACTGGTCTCGCGGTCTTCGTCATCCGCCTCCCAGTCGTAAGTACATGTGTCGCCTCCTCCTCCTCCTCCTCAATATCCTATCCTCACCCTCCTCGTCCTGAGCTTCCCTCTTCTATACTACTTATCCCATCTCTTCCTTCTCTACACCACTACCGTTCGTCATTCAATAGATTGTCCTACTTCTCTCGGTTGCTCCGAAATCATTGGTATTGAGGTTCATTCCTCCTCCTCCTCCTCCTCCTCCTCCTCCTCCTCATCCTCCCCTCCTCCCCGGTCGTCTCCCCGCCTCCCCTCATCTGCTATTTCCTCCGCCTCATACCTCCTCCCAGAGGCTTGCTCTTCGCTTATCCTCCTCCACCCACTTATCGTCCGGTTTCATCATCATTGTCCCCCACCTCCTCCTTGTGCCCCTGTTCCCGTCTTTCTCGCCCTCCTCTCCCCCTACTCTTCCCCTTCCTCCTCCCTTCCTCCCCCGCCATCTCCATCTCCTCACCCTCCTCTGGCCGCTCACTCCAGCCTCCCACTCCCCCCTCCATGTCGCCTTCACCCTTCGACCACGTTCCCCGTTCCCCTCCTCAGCGTTGGGCCTCTTCGGTCTACCCTCCACTACGATTCACACAATGCGTCCCCCCACGCGTGGTATCGCTCGAATTCGTACGCTGAACTATTTCTCGAAGATGATCAAAGATGCTCAACCAAGGTCCACATCGAGAACAAACAACTCCGACGGTAGCACCCCACATGATTATGTGTTTAGCTTGCCTGGGAATCTCCTCCTGCCCCCTCGCTTCGCCCACCTACTCCTGCCTCCTCCTTTTCCTCCTGCCTCCTCATCCCCCTCCTGCCTCAACCCCTGCCTCCTCCTCCTCGTGCCACCTCCACCACCACCACCTCCTCCTCCTCCTCCTCCTCCTCCTCCTTTTCCTCCCCCTCGTTATGCCTCCTCCCCCCATTCCCCATGCTCATCCTGCCTCCTGTGTCCTCCTCCTCCTGCTGCGTTCCCTCTCCCTCCCCCTCCTCCTCTTCATCCTCCTTATTTTCTTCTCCCCCTCCTCCGCCGCCTCCCCTCTCCATGTTTCTCTTCTCCCACTCCCTCCTCCGCCTCCTCCTCCTTTCCTTCGTGTCCATGTTCACCCCCTCCTCCTCCGCCTCCCCAACCTCCTGCCTCCTCATTAGGCGTCCTGCCTCCTCTTGGGGACTCGTGGGGCCTCTCGGGGCCTCCTGGAGCCTTGTGGGCCTCCTGGGACATCCTGGGGTCTCCTAGTGCACTCCTCTTCCTCCATGTCCTCCTCGTCCTTCGCGCC